CAAATCTAAAGATAACGTAAAAGCTATGATGAATTTGAAGGATATTTGCAGGAGGAAAATGTTTGGGTTGAAGAAAGGTAAAAATGGTAAACTTCTAAAGCCAAAAGCTTCATTCACCTTTATTTTAGAGCAAATGCGAACGATTTGTAAATGGGTGCATAGCTAAAGCTACTTGATGGATATGCTTCCAACCTCAGTAGATGTGTTGACATGATATCGAGAAGATTGTTTGGATTGAAAAGCCATAACTATCACATCTTCATGGAATGTTTGCTACCAATTGCGCCAATTGCTTTCAATTCTCTTCTAGTTCAATCTTAAATCCCTTGATCGAACTAAGTATCTTTTTTCAAGGACTTATACTCATCAAAACTGAATGAAGAAGCTTTACTCCATATTAATCATAGCATTCCTTTCATTCTGTGCAAGCTTCAAAAGATATTCTCTCAAAAGTTTTTTGACTCCATAGATTATCTGCCTGTGCATTTACCATATGAGACTAGAGTTGGTGGACTGATTCAATATCTGTAGATGTATCCTTTTGAGAAAAAAATTTTGTACTAACATAAAATATCAAATACTACTAACAAATTTGTAATTCATAACCATACATCATTCAGGTATTTAAATAAACTTAAGAAGACTATAAAAACAAAGTACATCCCGAAGAACTAATATGTGAATCATATTTGATATATGAGACTACTTCATTTTTCTCATAGTACTTAGACATAGAGTTACAATCAACAAGGAATATTGTATGCCGAAATTTGGATAATCTAGATGCATGTCCATCTACCAGTAACATATCAGTATTCAAAGGATGTGGCAAGGTAGTAAGAGCTTGTATTGTGCGTTATTTGATAGATAAGAAGATGAAAGTTGTCATGTCGTACACAATGCTCAATTGTGCTGAAGTTGAGTCATATTACAAGTAAGTTTAAGTTAAGATTCCGTATATTTTGTAGACTTATATATAGAGACCCTAAGTTCAAAACTTTTGCAAAAAGTTCGTTAATGGTCTGACTACAACATCACTATTAAAGTAGGAAAAGAAAGTAGAATTTGAATTTCAAATTCGTTCAAAGAAATGGTATACATTTTGATAAGTCAATTCAACCATATATATAATTAATTAAAATGATAATAACATAAATATATTTTCTACACCAATCAGGTCAATAATGAAGCCAAAGATTTGCAAGAGCAAGGACTATTGAATCTAGCATCGGGACCTATAAGAGCAATAAAATGTTGACCAATTTTTATTATCAACGGTTACATATTTCAAACCAAAGCTTGGTGTGAAGGTCAGAAAACAGAAAACTATAGTGCATGTGCGAAAGAGAATAATCACACAGCAATGATTGTGTATTATGGGGCCTTACAGGAAATACTACATTGATTTGATCCAATGCAAAATAGAAGGGTGCATCCACTTTATGGTATTACAGAAATAAAGGAAGGTAGAAAATATAGAAAATACGATCCATTTGTCTTTGCTAGTCAGGCTACCCAAGTCTTATTTACTAACTTTCGAGATAGACTGCACGGTAAGCAAGATTGGCTTATAGCTATCAATACTAAACCTAGGGGGATTATTGAGAATACAACATCAATACCAGCAGTACATTAAGAAGAGTATATGTCAAACTTTAAAGAGCCTGTTAATGATGTAGATAATCAAATTGAAGCTAATGAAACTGAGTTGCAGTTAAAGGAGGTAATCTTACATGTTAGCATACATATAGTAATTCTTTTTTTTACATGTTAGCATACACACAATAGTTCCTTTTTTTTACATATTAGCATAGCAATAGTTACTACTTATTTCCTGCATTTTTATAAATATACAAATTGTAGTTAATTATTTCATTTATTTTTTGCAGATGTCTTCTAAAGGTGATGAGCTCCATAGGTCATCGATCACAAATATTTTCAGGCACTGAAAGAATACCAGTGGACAATCTAATAGGGGTCGAGGTACTGACGGGACCTCATATTCACAGCCTGCCACTAATACCCAGCCTAGACCCCCTTTACATATATCTTCTGCAGAGAGTCCTCCGTTTTACCCCACAGACCCCCGCTTTCCATTACCATATCCTACGTAGACGGCTCCCTTTTACTTGTACTACCCCCCACCATCTTCTCTAAGATTCCCTGCTACTTATCCCTATCCACCATACATTTCGCATACATACAATAGTTCCTTTTTTATATATGTTAGTATAACATGTGATATGTAACAAGTTAAGCCATTCTATTTTATTTTAAACCCATGCATGTGAATGCAACTACTTGAGATGTTTAAGGGTCTAACGTAATAGTTGTTCGCATGAATGCATTGTCTTTAGAAAATGCCTATAGCTTTGCATGTTATGCTCATTATTGCTCACATTTTGTTCTCTTCGCAATGAAGATTGTGACAATATAATCAACTTTAATGACCTTAGCACAATAAATGATAATAGAGATTTTATTTTTATCGGCCTAATAATAATATGATTTTAAAAAATCGTTTGAGGTGCACGCCTCAAAGCTTAAGCCTTACTAGTGCCGGTGAAGCTTACGTCTATTTTAAATGAGGCGTACACCTCGAGATGTTTTGAGGCAATGCCTCATTCTGGTTAAATTTATAATTTGTGTGTGTGTGTGTGTGTGTGTGTATATATATATATATATTACAAAGAGAAGGAACCAATTAGTTATAAAATGGATGAACAAGATTGAATGGTTGTGTTATGTTTAATAAAAATTTGAAAAATAAATACCTCAAATTATAATTACAAATAGTGATGATGAAATAAATCCTTAGATTGTTGATGATATATTATTCAATGATGAATGGATAATAGCAAAAAATGGTGAGGTTTAAAGTTGAAGATGGAGGAACTTTTTTAATAATGAGGAAGATGGAGGTTTAAACTTTAAAGTTTATGATTTTTTTTTCGAGGCTTACGCTTCAATCCGCCTCGAGGCTTACGCCTCAACTCGCTAGGCAAAACGTTTTAATTACCAATTTCACCTTTTTAAACCTTGATTAGTAAACTCGAAGTTAGAGAGGCTTTAAAAAAAATTATTGTTGAGCATAATGATATTCCAATAAAGGTGTGAATATACTTTGAAGATGAAGGAATTTCTTGGTTTACAAAACATTTCAATATTATTTTGAAGACTAAAAAAATGTCAAATAAGTGGAGGAGTGCATTGATCTCTATTTTTAAGAATAAAGGTGATGCACAAGAGCAATTTGACCAAGTATTTTTCTATTTCAATAGTATTATATCAACGATCAGCCTTAAGTCCATATATTTTTTGCTTTAGTCATGGATTTTACATTTGCAAGATGATGTAACCTAGTGTATGCTTTTTGCTGATGATATTCTTGTTGCTTATAAGAGTAGATAGGGAGTTGAAAGTAAACTTAAATTATGGAGGTCAACAATAGAGTCCAAAGGTTTTTGTTTGAGTGGATCTAAAACCAATTATATTGAATATAATTTTAGTAGTAATAGATCTAGTGGAGATATTGGGACTTTGGGCGATCAAATCATTAATAAGAGTACACATTTTAGATATCTCAGGCCTATTGTTCAAAGTGATGGCGAAATAGAAGGAAATATTATTAGTAGAATTCAAGTTGGATGATTAAAGTGGAGGAATGCATCAGGCTTGCTGTGCGATAGAAAATTACTCCATAAACTTAATGAAAAGTTCTACAAGATGGTGGTGAGACCTGTAGTGTTTTATGGCACAAAATGTTGGCCATTAAAAGAGAAGCATAAAATTAAGTTTACGTGTTGCAGGGATGAGGATGCTTAGGTGGATGAGTTATTTTACTCTTAGAGACAGAATACGAAACAAGCATATACATGAAAACTTGGAGTAAATCCGATAGCATAAAAAGAGTCACCTTAGATGGTTTGATCACATAAAACGTCGGCATCTCGATGACCCGATTAGGAGAGTTAATGTATTAGATTTGGCTTATGTTAAGAAAGGTAGAAGTAGACCTAAAAAGACTTGGTTAGAAAATATTAGAGATTACATTTCTTTATTAGATTTAAATGAGAATTTGACTCTTAACATGACAATGGAGAAAAGGGATTTATGTAACCAACCCCACATAGTAGGATAAAGGCTTGATGTTGTTGTTTGTATAAACTGACTGATAAGTATTATTATCACCCTCATTTATTTTACTAAGTCTAACTTATATATCTTCTAAACACTTTCTTTATAATTCAAATTGCTCACTTATTTCAACGAATATCTCCCCAATTAGAGCTATATTATCTGCAAAAAAAAACATTACCAATAAATCTTAAGCAAAAATTGACATCATGAACCGGACAATCAGAGATGTAGCCACTAGTTATGAATATTAATAAGCATAATTTGTATTATCAATAGAATAAACCCATCCTCATCGAAATTGATTCTCAAGAAGTAATTTGATCAACTTCATTCTAAGTTAGCCATGCCAACAACATAAATAAGTGATCAGATAATTCAGATCCAAAATCAGTTATAACTTGCTGCAAGAAAACTGTTCTAATCCTTTGATTTGTGGTATTATGTAGTCATGCACAAAATGAAGTCATTGCTACTTTTCTGCACTAGTTGCTCCGCAAGTGCACTGTCTATGGTCGTCAATCCATGGAGGACATCCACGTGCGGTCAAGAGCCTTCAACAAAAATCAACTTTTGCATCCCTGGTTTTTTTAAACCAAGGCAAAAGAAAATAAAAAATGGATCCACTGGGGACATCTTCGTAGTGCAGCAAAAAGTTCCAATAGCCCTATTAGATGGACTTACCAGTGAAGATCATCTCTAAGAAACAAGAAAAGGCAGAAAGGAGCTTTAAAAGCTAAATGCAAACACAAGCTAATACAAGCAAATCACAAGGAAAAACAATTTCCATATCCATGTAAGTCGGATTATGCAGCAGTCATATAAGCATATCTATATAGCAAATGGACTAAAGCCAATAATACCTGCACTGCAGGAGGTTGGAGGGTCCTTCTGTAGGTCCTTGAGTTCCTTCACAATCCTCTTTGATGCCATTTTAAGCTTCTACAACACCTAAAAATACAAAAAACTTCAATTGAACCTGCAGATCGAAACCTTCATGAACTAGCCAATGAAGCATAGATACGAAAACCATAACCTGGACACAACATGGACACGGTGACCAACATAGACGAGGTGAAATGGATATGACATGGAAACAATGACATAACAAAACTGTTAAAAGAAGGACAACAAAAAATTAACTTCAAACTCCCTTCCACTAATAATGTGTAACTTTCAAACCCTTTTATAACTCCCTGGCTCTTAATTTACAAGTCCATTCCTTCAAATTTTGTAACACTCAAACTCTTTTGTAAGGCACTATCTACAAACCCATCTGCCTTCCAAAATTTACCTCGGAACTTAGTTCGTTAAAACTCCCTCGCCGAATAAGAAGAGCGAGCAGAGGCCGGGGCCGAATTTTCGGAGCCCACAAAGTTCAAATTCTTTTGCAACTCCCCACCCTTTATTTGTAACCCACTTCAAGTTTTGTTAACACAAACTCTTTGAAAATACATGATTCTTGATTTGTCACTTCTCCAATAATTACATAGTTGAAATAATCATAGATTATTAAAATTACTATATTTTGTCTTGGATCAACAATTTCATAAGACTTATTCATTTTTACAGCAAGCATGTTAAATATTAATATATAATTTTATTTGTATCATTCAAATATAGCCTTTTTTGTAGTATTGAATCTCAACATAATTCTATAAATAGAAGGTCAGGAGATGAGTTTGACAGATTCTAACACATTTTGTATGGCTCAAGTCAAATGGTTTTGTACTTGACAGCAATTTGGCGCAAATCCTAGATTTTCTCTCTAGGCTCTCTTTCTCTCTCCTTTTCTTGATCGTTATCCCTTCTTACTTGTAAGGCTCTAGTGTCAACCACTAATAAGTTTATTCATTTTCAATGAAAGATGATGGAAGTTAAAGCTTAAAGCAAGCAATCCAAGATTACATTGACTCAACGAATTAGACAAGATCCATTTTGATACACACTTGGTTTGGAACAACCAAGAATATTAGTCGAGTTGTTTAAACTCATCAACGGTCACATAAATGTATAAGAATACATTCGTGAATCAATTACTTCGCCATTTTATCAACACAGCTAGGAATTTGTATGGAACTTAAGACAACTTCCCATGAACCAATGGAGTCAACCAAGGAATTCCTGGAGTAAGTTAGCTGAGAAGCTACAATAACAAAACCAACATCACCACCACCAGCAATATGAAAATTGTGATTTTCTCCCTGAGAGGAGAAGCCAAATGTGAGGAATTTTGATGCAAGAAAAAGTGGAAAGTGGTCGCAACCTCAACAGCACCTACTATTACACCCTTTGAGAGCTCCTTTAGAAGAAATGATGGATATTCACTATAAATACTATTTGCAATGAGGGTCAATGCTTACACTCGAGACAAAATCAAATTATTATGTTTTTGATAAATAACAAGGTCATGACACCAAAGATTGTCAACATCTTCGTAAGGTCTTGTTGAAGCTCTCCAACTTAACGATTTTCTCTTTTAAAACTATTACTTTATTATCAACTTGATGAGCACATAATTAAACAGCCATAAAATCCTATCAAGTCCACTCACCTCGTGCAATGGCCATTCCAAGGGAAGCCTTCTTCTAGGAAAAGCTTTGGTTTAAATTTCTTCAATTTAATTCTTTAAAGATTTAGGTTTTGTTTGGGACAACTTTCTTAGTGCTTTGTAAAACAACTTTTTAGTAAAGAAACAAATTTTAATTTAAAATTTTTGTGCTAAAAAACTACTTTAGAAACAGTAATAAAGTCATCCCAAACGAAGCCTTGATCTCTTTAAGCTTCTTATAAACTTCATAGTTTGATCTTTGTGGCTTCTCAAAAGTTTAAAAAAAAATCTTCTTTCAAGGAGTCACTTGACTTTCATTGTACCTAGATGAAGACTGTTTATTAGAACCATGCCAAGTTGATCTAATGCAGGACTAATATGTTTTAGATGAATGCGATAAGAACTTGCATGATTTTGATAAGAACAAATAACAATTAAGACTATTAGCCACTAAATGATAATAAAAAAATGTAAGATGGGTAGCCACGCTTAGGCCAAATCACATGCTAAGTACTTGAATCATAAAAACAATTTAGAATTTCAACAATATACGAATTAAGTAGTTATTCAACAAAAATCTCTAACCTAACATTGAGATAAGCAACATATAAAGTAAACTCAAATCCTACGTTTACTAAGCGGAGGCAGAGAGCGAAGCACGAGACCTTGCAATTAAATCACCACCTACAAGGTTAGCGTATTAGAAAGATAAATGAAGAGGGAAGAAGTTCACCCTTGTCGAGGTCCGGAAACAATTTACCAATGATTGTTGGCAGGCTGTTCTTCGACAGCTTCGAAAAGTGTGAAGATGATGTGCTCCATGTATTCTTCGATGGAGTTGTCGGTTTACGAGTTGAAGTTGAAGGTGGAGTGAAGAATGTTGACATTCCCTTGCTCGTCGTAAGCGAATCTGTAATCAAATTCAGGATCGGTCATTCATTGGCTTTGAGGTGTTGAGGTGTTGGCGACGATCGTTGTTGCTTTCCTTGAAGACTCCTATTGAGAGGGAGGAGTTTATCTTGTAAGTTCAAGAGGGAGAGAGGGAGTGATATGGCCGGCCAAGGGTGGGGGTGAGGAGAAAAGATTAGGTTCAGATTTTAGGAGAAGAAGATGGAGGGAAAGTCAAGCAATTGCTTTCCTAATTAATGCTTTTAATTTGGGAAAGGATGAGGGTGTAATTAGGAAGGGGTGGGGCGGCTAAGGGAGAGGGAGAGGAGGTTTGAATTATTTCCAAGAGTGGAGATTGACTTGAGGAAATAAATCCAAGGGGAAATTATATGGGGGCCAGCAGCATAGGAGGACTAGGAAGGAATTTATGGAAGCAATTAATGCTTCCTTGAGTTAGGGAATTAAATTTGGGAAGAGATATTTTATCCCAATTTAATTTAAAACTCAAATAGGAAGGGATTTGGAAACTTCCCTAAAATAGGATTGGTATTTTAGATAACTTTTCAAATTCAAATAGATTTGAATTTGTAAAGTAATTGAGTTGCCTAAAATATTAAAACCCAATTATGAAAGAGGTAATTGCAAGCATTGATGACGAGAAAACCCAAAAGGGGGAGGGGCGGTTGGCTTGGGGTTCGGTTGGGTAAAGGCCGGCGGGTGGGGTGGGCATTTGGGTAAGTGGGTGGGGATTTGGGTAAGTGGGCCGATGGTTGTGTGGGGAGGAGTGTGGTTGTTTGAGGTGGTGGTGGGATGAGCCAACGAGTGGGAAGGTGGTGAGGATCGGTGGCTTAAAAGGGAGGGGTATATGGGTCGGCGGGTTAGGGTGGAGAACGGCAGGAAGAAAAGATACGAGGAACGAGCCGTGAGCCTGAACTTTTCCAAGGCTGGCAGGTGATACGATTCCCTCTCCAAGGGTTCTCTCTCCCAAATGTTCCAAACTCTCTCAAGAACTCACAATGTAGAAAATTTTATTATTCAATCATTAACCATGAAAAGAGAACATAAGGGCTATATATAACCTTATACAATAGACTCAAAAATAAAAGACGACGATGCCCTTCGGGCTTACACATGACCACCCTTAAATAAGGGATAAAAAAGGGGAAAACAAATAACGCAACTACAAACATAAATAAATAAAAGACAAATACATAATACAACTTAAATATACATCAACTCGATCATGGCCGTAGATCGACGGCACATCTTTAATAGACTTTTCAAGCTCCGATATCCCCATCATGATCATACCGAGTTTGAGAGAAGATGACATCATTGAGATTGCACGCAATTGAGGTTAATTCAATCTTTTCCTAAGTCAGGTCCAAGTCAATGTCAGCCTGAGCCCACATGAAATCCCCAACCCATTTAAAAACCAAACTATTCTCCTCATCAACCAAAGACTGGTTGAGTTACAAATAGAATGATTTAAAGGTTTCATTCCCTTGTTCTTTGGGCCACTAACAATTAGCTTAGTTCTCTTCCCAGTACCAACTTCATCTATTATGATTCAAGTGGATCGGATAGACATAGGCCTTTTGAGAAATTTACATGTACACAACTTTTTAGGAAGACAAGTGGTGAGAGATAATGAAGGAATGGTCCCAATAACTAATGTTTTTGTAGTTAGAGGAATAAAAGTAGAGATTGAACCAATAGCAAGGTTGGCCTCAATGCTCGATGAACAAAATAAAAATTGTTTAGTATATTCTTTTTTAAGTTTTGGAATTTATGTCTTGCTATTTCTTACAATAGAGCTGATTCTTGTTATTATCCTTGACAATCCTAAAGTTACCCAACAAGAATTCCCACTTCATTCAAGAATTGAGAAACTTCAATATTGTCAAGGATAATAACATGAATCGGCTAACTTCAATATTGTCAAGGATAATAACGTGAATCGGCTCAATAGTAAGAAATAAAAAAGATATAAATTAGAAATCTTAAGAGAAGAATATATTAAACAGAGATAAGAATGCTCGCAACTAACCTGGGAAAGTAGTTCTCATAAAAAGAAAACCATAGCAAAGAAATTGAAGCAAGGGAAGAACGAGAAAACCCAGAAGGAAATGAATTCATAAAGCTAGTACTAAAGCCCTAAAGGCTATTTAAATAAATAGTTTAAAAACTTGAATAAGTGATCACATCCGTGATGTGATTCACCTGGCATCTTATGTATCAAATCTAGAAGTTAGATTTTTATTTTTATTTTCCAATAATATTTAATAAAACAAGAAGCTCAAATAACGCCAAATAAGTTAACATCTCAAATTATCAAATCCGACTTCATCTTGAAGGCCAAATTCAACTCAATGGATGACCTCATTCCAGAGACCAACCCAACATTAAGGCAGACCCCATGATACAATAGTTCGCATTTATGCAAATATTGATACACTCAAAATTTTTATTTTATTAAAAACAAATACAAAAAAAAAGCTATTTTATGGAAACCAACTCAACATAAGCATAGGAAAGAAAAGACATTAAAGAAAATGACAGGTTTCATTCAATCTCACATAAGTTGTTTTTTGCAAGATAACAAACAAACTTAGGGATAACTTGAAGAAATCAGCATCCTTCTAAAATCTTCTTTAGATACTCCTGCACCCAAAAATAAAAATAAAAATAAAAAACATGAGGCAAAATCAAGATCGATCACTCCTGAAATTGATCCACAATGAATTTGGTAGTGGAGAATGAACTAGCCCCAGCTAGAAATTAATTGGGTATTGACAATTCAATGAACTTAAAAGTGTAAATGACTTCATTCTTTCATCCTTGTACTTCATTGCAACTTCATCTGACATCATAGATGAGTGTTTTGTTAATGCATCAAGCTTTCTTCCAAAAGATAAAGCTGACTTCTTTCAACGTCAACAAAAACCCTAAGCATCTATACTGAAATTCAAGGAGAAGACCTTAGCCAGAAAAATCCTCAACCTTCCTAGCCAAAAATAAATAAATAAATAAACTCCTCTTGAAGTTACTGGAGCAAAAAGATGAATTTATGGACTTCTTTCTATAAAGGCTTAAGACATCTTCTCGCAATTGGTGATGATTTCAACAAATTATGCTACTATAACAATCTTTCTATCTTTTCCTCTACTTCCATGGTCTCAAGCACAAGAATTCCAACACCAACTTCTTTAGAGACATCCAAGTTCTCTTTTACTAAAAGAGCTTGAACTTTCTAGATGGAATCCTTCACAGAAACTGGTTTCACTTCAATGCCCACCTCTTGATCTGTACATAAAAGCTGGCTCATAATGAATTCAAAGATAATAATGCCATATTCAATTAAATGAATCTCAGCCTCCTTTTATTCACCCCCAGCAACAGACATATCATTCTCAACAGCATCTTTCACAAAAATAATCTTGAAATTTGTTGCCTCGAGCGGAGGATGTCTTGAAGAAGTCACAGGATTAGCTGAAGTCGCAAGATCCACAGCCTCCTAACTCTTCTCACTGGGTTCAATCTTTATTTTCTTTGGATGCAATTACGAATGTAACATCCCTTCCATGTAAGCCATTTTTTTGAAGAACCTTTTCCTTCTTGCACTTTTTTAGAAGATAAAAAACAAGTTCTCAATTTAAATGATTGCCGAGTTTTAGGTCATCAAAGCACTTCATCTTAGCTAAGAAGAGTAGGAAAGTACAGATAAAGGCAAAGAGAAAATAAATAACAAAGAAAAGAACCTTAAAGTAATCTTTGGGTCGATATTTACAAGCTTTTTCATAATGCTACCGTGTGCAAGAAAAAAAGGTAGTTAAATCTATGTAATCAATCACAATTCATGTATCAACCATCAAAAAAAGGTTTTAAAATTTAAATTCTCTTGTTTTATGGTCACTTGAAAGAGACAAGATAATTAAGGAACTAATATACACCCAAAGTCTCCTTAGTCAGGTTGCCAAAGGGCAAATCCAATTTAACAAGTCACTAGCATTGAAACAATTCGAGACATTCAAAAGACTACTTGGCACATCTAATTAATATTCAACCTATAAACTCGACACAAGAACAATGCTAAACATTTACACAGATTTAAAGAACAAGTCATCAACATCAAAATTTCCACTTAACTCCAAGATTACTTCAATTTGACCATAGAAGTCGCCCAAACTATTCATCGAGGTCAGAATGAAGTCATGAAAGACTTCATCAAAAAATAAAATCTTCTCCACAAAGATCAACTTAGAGCTCATCAAGAGTTGTTAATGTAGTTAGAAAACAAAAAGTGAGTTAGACGTATTTATGTACCAGCAAACACTTTAAGCTTTATTATGAAATTTTAACAATATTACTCAAATTTAGCATTTTAGATCACATTAAACTTCAACCTAAGCCTATAAATAAATGGTCAGGTATGAGCCTAACACGTCATGCTTGACTCTGGTCGCATAAATTTGTACTCTGACAGCAATCTAGTACAAATCTCATAGCTTACCACCCAATTTTATCTTTCTCTATCCTATGTCCTCACTTGATCTTTATACATCCTTATTAGTAAAATTCAGTTGTCATCCACAGATGTTATAGGATCCAAGAACAGCATCCAGCATCAATCAAACAAAACCGATAAATGCACAAGATAATATACAAATATGGAACTAGACTAATAAATTCAAATCACCCAACAAATCCAAAATAACGAGGAAATTGGATCGCATCCAATCTAATCGAGAAAATAGCTGGTGGTACGCTAAAAAAGCCTCATAGTTTCACTAAGGCAAACAGTGAACGAAGATAGATCAACAAAACCATTGCATCGTTCAAAAAAAATCGAAGCATTAGAAATCGATTAGGAGATGATGAAGCAGCAAACCCTAGATCGTTGAGATTGAAGTCGCAAACCAAAGATAGTGGAGGATCGACTCCCACCCACTAGTAAACCGAAAGAAGGTGGAAGATTGAAGCGACGCACCTCACTTCGTACGGTGTTAGAAAAAACCAGAAAAGCTGGCGGCCAAGTGGATCCCGCGTTGATAAAAGTGCAGCAGTGCAGGCAGTTTTGCGCAAATCCACTGCGCCCGCCACCGCCGATTCGGCGAGCAACGTCGCTTAAATAGTGCACCGATAAGAGTTAATTACGATACTACCACTTATAAGTTACAGCTGGTGGAAACACCGGGAAAATTTTAGGCCAGCAGTGTTCAATAGTTCAAAAAACAACTCTTCCTAGCTAAAAGGCACTTACTTTATTCTCATCAATTTTTTTTATAACTAAGAATTGTAATAATTTTAACTCCTTTCAATTTGAGAGGATTTTAGTGGAATGGAACATCTCTACTATCTCTCCTACTACATCTATTATTGATAGTCTAATAATTATAAAGTTATTTATTATTGACAAACTACTACAATCTTTTTTATCTGTAATTTATGCAGAACACTCAATCTCAGATAACTTCTTTTTAGTTCAGTCTTAAGTAGATTGCTAATGATAATATTAAGCATTGGTTCTTTTTTGACAACTTTTATTTTAATAGATTTTGGGATAAGAACTCTGGAGATAATTGATCGCCAACAATAAATTTTATGATTTTAACACTATAATAACATAAGATTAAAAGACCTATCTTCAATGGGGAATTGGGGATGTCCTATTCTTGGTATAACAATAGGATTAATTTATATTATTATAAAGCTTAATAGGATTTTGGTTAATCAAGGCTAAATTGACTTATTTTCTTTAGTTTATAATGTTTGTGCTCTAAAGTGCTCTAGTAACTCTTCTTATTGATTCATGCTACTACTAGTACACATAATCACATATCCCTCCTAAAAAGGTTTTGGTCATTTTATGACAGGTTCAATGACATTTTGAAAAGAGCTTGGTCCATTCATATCTAAGGGGATCCCAATTTTATCCTATATCAAAAATTGAAGGTTGGTAAGTCTCTTAAAAGCTCAAAAATGATATTCTTCCAACCACATGTCTTACACTATCTCAAAATTAAAGAAAGAACAATAATCAAATAATTGACTTAAATCTACAAGAACTTTTCCTTAATCTCAAAACTAAAGGTCTTAATAAGAAACTTACTAATGCCTACTCCCATTAGATGTTTGGATCACCCAAAGAACCAAAGCTAAATAGCTCTCTTGAGAGGAAGATGACCTATATTTTTATTTGAAAAAAAATCAAGGGGAGGAAAAATTACAACTTCACCTTGACATTTCTAATGCTGTTATACTTCATTTTAAAGATATCTTTAATTCTAATGGACGTTCTAATGACATCTCATTTGACTTCTTATGGATGATTATATTTATCCTCACCTCTTATTTGATTTGGTGGTATTTATCTTTAATAAAAAAATAAAGAAGTTGATTTTATTGGCTACTAAGAACTTACCTCTTACGCATGAGGGCTTCACCTCTGAATTCTATGTTAATTCTTTGGAAGTTATGGGAACAAAAGTTTATGCAATGCTTTAAAAATTATTGCATACAAAAATTTATTTAAAAATGTGAAGGTCATAGGTCTTGTTCTAATTCCAAAAGCTCGCTTGCACATTCTTTAAGTACAAGCCCATTTCTCTTTGTAATACATTTTGCAAAATCATTGTAAAGATTCTTGCCACCAAATTCAAATTGATAATACATTCTATTATGCAATCTAATTAGGGGAGCATTATCAATAACATAATTTCCACAAATAAATTTATTCTTGCTAACACAATTCTTTCTGAATTTTAAAGCAACAGTGTTCATAATTTTTTTTGTGCTAAATGGGATGTCAAAAAGGTATTTGACATTTTTAGTAAAGAAATTCTCCATTCTTTTTTTTGGGACATTTAGGCCATTTAAGGCAAACTCACACACACAACGCATACACATGGACTCGAACCTTGGACCTCTTAGTTGGAAGCCTAAGCTCTCAACCAATAGGCCAAGGGGAGTTGTGTGCAAATTCTCCATTCTAAATTGAGACAAAGAGGCTCTCCCAATTTTAAGTGCACTTTGGATCTATGACGAGATCGTCTCTATCTCCATATCAATTATGCATTATTATGGATATATAATCTAGCTAATCTATTTGAATAAAAAATTGCCAAAGGAGACTATGCTGGGGTATCTCTTGATAATCTTTACCTTCCTCACATACTTTGTTCAAATGATCTTTTGATTTTTGGGGAATGCATTTTCGAAATAATATTTCATGTATGAATGACATTCTTCATATATTTGGAAATTACACTAGCATGCATCTTAATCATGTTAAAAGTTCCACCTTCTTCTCCCCTGAGGTCTCAAATGCTATTAAATTTCAACTTTTATCACAATATTCCATTGTATAAGCCTAAATTTATTTACTTAAGGGTTCTTGTTTCCTCAAGAAGCTCCACCTAACTAGTTTATAGCCTTTACTTCATAAAATTTTTCACCATGGAAACATCAACACTAATAAGCTTCACTTAGTGTCTTCAGACAAAATTTCCAAGCCTAAGAATAATGGTTGAGTGGGGCTTCCTTCAGTTATAGTATTAACACATTCTTCCATGTGTTCTCTTATTTGGAGATTTCTTAACTTTATAACCCTTCTTACCAATTGGTGGAAAACTCAATATCACACCTTATATAAAAGATCTTTTGTACACAAACCTCCACTTTTTAGAAAGATCGTGGTAAAATTACATCTAGAATAAGAACCAAATTTGCTTATGTCATTAGTAAAGACTATACCATCAATCAATTTTGGATCCTAATGTTCAATGGGAAATCTCTTACAGAGCATTTTGATCATGACCACTTAGTGTGCTATTTTTTAATGACATGGATTCTCACTACTATTATATCTCTTCTATTAATAAGTTTATAACTAAAATTCCTCTCATGTTTGATTGAAAGGACTCTCTAATTTGGAATGACATTTCTAACCTTATATTAACGACTTCCTTTTGGACTATCACAACAATTTGATTATTGTGGAAATGCATTATTATATTTGGCACAAACATTTTGACACAATATATTCTACCCTTTCTTGCTCTACATTATGAATAAGTTACAAAAATGTTGATGTGTTGTATGCCCAAAACATTCAAGTTCAAAGGCTATGTAATTTCTCCTTAGATGAATTGAAGGCCAAGAATCACGTATTTTTTTAATTCCATTAATACATGTTAAACCTCTACTTAGTTGGTTAACATAAACCTCATGTTTTCTAATTAGACCCAATATTTTGCAACACTACAGGAAAATCGTCCAATACCGACAAAAATTTTCAACGTAATTGTCCAATTACTGGCGGGTTTTAAAATTTCCGACGGTGAAACCCCGGTGAAAAAAACCGCATAGGATATTGAAATCGAAGGCCATTTGGGCAAATACTGGCGGAATTTCTGCGGCTTAAGACATTGGAATTTTGTTACTTAAAACCGGCAATAGGGCCGCCGGTAAGTGCGTCGTAGATAGGACATTCAAGCAACATTTCCCAGAATTTTCAGCGGTTAACCCACCGGTATAACCGCCGCTTAATACCGGCAGGCAGATTGTCGGTTTAATTGCCGGCGGTCAAATAACTGTCGGAAATTCCTATAGTGAAAGTCCTCTCTGACACTCATGAAATGAATTCTATTGATGGTGCCATCGAAAGTTTTTATTATTTGCAAGAGAATATTTGGAAATAACTTAGCTAGCTCCATTTCAATTATCTAAAAAGTTTCCCTGACTATTGCAGCAAAGATAAGAGGTTGGAAAATTTATAATGTCTTACAAGATGTTAAATTTTTGGTACTATTTAGTTATATGCCAATCTCTTATGCTTATGCTTTTGGAGTTTTGGGGATTTAACAACTATGAGCTAACCACAAATCTCCTCTTTATTTTGTTGGTGCCTTTTATTAGACAATGATGAGTTATTGTACTCCACACAATTAATTATTTTGATCATTTGTACTATCAACTTCTACATGATGCTGAAAATGCTTAGACATGAACTCCCCTTTAACCTTACACTTCAATTTCATCTTTTGTTCTCATAGGTTTTATTGTTCTTATTGAGGGCTTTTTTGAATCTTTATTCTTCTTTTGTACACATTTCTCTTTCTTGACTATCTACAATTTGCATTACAATTATACATTTGGGTGCCTCTGTAATTTAAGTTTTGAAAAAGTATGTGAGGATATAATAAAAAGGTTTTTAAAGGACTACCACGCAACAATACCTAATCGATTACAGATGAGGTCTACCAGCCGTTAGATCTATCTCCAAGTCAGCGATCCGCGAGGGGTTCCACAACAAACGGCAGAGGTTCTCCGATGGGGAGGCCATCCTGCTGCCCTAATTCGTCTATTGCTTGCATGTTCTTGCGTTCTTCGGCAGCCGTAATTTCCTTTCGAGTTTAATTTCAAAATATCATTTTTTTATTAGCGAGCGAGGAGCAGCAGGGGATAAAGATGAAGGCTGCTGTGGAAGACGGGAAGGAGATAGAATTGATTAGGAAGAAGAGGTTGCAAGAAGTGAAGATGGTGAACGAGGAACAAGTCGGGGATCTGAAGAATGATTTGAAAGAAGAAGAGGTGAAGGAAGAGATAGAGGACGAGGATGGAGATGCTGATGAGGCGTTGGAGGGAGATGATGTTGATGAAGACGATGAGGAGGAGGAGGAGGATAGCGATGTGGAGGAGGTGCCAGCGCCGAGGGTCGGGAGCGCGCCTGTGTACACGGTGGATTCTGATGATGATGATGAGGAAGAAGAAGAAGAGGAGGAGAACGGGGGTGATGGGGATGATGGAGATGGAGATGGAGATGATGACGATGAGGAGGAAGATGATGGCGGTGATGATGATGATGATGGCGGAGAGGAAGATGATGAGGAGGTAAATATTTTACTTCTTTTTTTTTTCTAGCAAGAAGGATCTCTAGGGTTTTTCAGATCTGTTAGCTTTCAAGCAACGTTTTTTTTTTTTTTTAATTTAATGAGGGAGATTACTGTTTTCAATTATAAATGACAGCGGTGAGATTTTTTTTTTTTTTTTGCATATATAATTCTCTACGTCTTTAACATATATAAAAAAATATCAATATCATCAATTTTTTTAAAAAATGAAATACACATTTTTATGCTCATATCTTTTTTAAAGTAAAATAATAAATATTAGATAAAATTATATATAAAAAAAGAGGCCATGAGGCCAAAAAAAAAACTTGAGAAGGCAAATCTAGCCATACTCTGTTTCAAAGTCAAATACAATATAAAAAGGAATAGATTTGGATGAGGATCTACTAATACTTAAAATCTTCACATGAACTATTTTTTTTTTTTTTGCCCATATTAGGCCATCTGCCAATATTGGTTGAGTAGAAAACCACTAATGGAGCATTGTTATTTAATATTGTAAAACTAGGAGGACTAGTGAGCTGACTAGGTCATGCTGAGAGAGTTGATGTTGAAGAGCACGTAAAGCAACTAGTCATGACTAGATTGAAGCCTTTCTTGAGCCTTCGTACCCTCATAAGAAATGGTGATATATATTGTGTCTTGAATATATGGATGGGAAGAAGAAAGGAGAACTAACTTCTAGGGAGAAATTAATATTTGAAGAATAATCACAACATTAAAGGGAAAATTTTATATTTCCGGTGGATTTTCCGGCCTAATACCGGTCGTCGTTAAAATCGGCGAATATTTTCCACCTAAAACTCTATCAATAAAGGAACCATTTTCAGTGTTCCATCTCTTTCCTCCGCCAATTCATGCGACACGACCTCTAAAAATATGGTTCACGTGAAATGCAATTGCAGACTGTCCCTCGATCCTGGTCATTTCCATTCATTGTTCACCAATGAATTTGACTTTGATAGATAGTGGTAGTCAAAAAAATCGTAGTTGACGGAAGACGGTGGTCGGAGGGACTTTAGTCGGCGAGAGACGGAGGACGGAGGAATGAACGATGATAATTTTTTTACGGAGGCCCGAAAATGATGGTCGAGCAGAGGTGCAACTGCGGTGGCCTGGTGGCGAGGGTTCACCATTGGTGGTGCCAGGGTGGAGCTCCAGAATACTTCAAGCCTCAAAGCTCTCTTGAGTCTCTAGCCTAGGTTCGAAGCCTCCAAAATTCCAAGCCCCCTCACATGTAGAAGAGGGAGTCTATTTATAGATTTTTTAGAGTGGCATGCTCCGTAAATATGAAAAAGTTCAAGGGCAAATTCAAAGTGCTCCATTGAATGACCCATATCGATTCTTAAATCATAGAATGTTCATGTTGTATTTAAGTGCCTTAATGATGTCAAAATTTAGCGATCTTGAGCTCGTTCAATTTATCTTATTAAGCTGCTATATTCGACTACAACGTGCCATATTAAGAGATCATTCGATCATCCAATTAATGCTTTGAATCTTTCAAATATATTTTGGTCATTTGATTTGGGCTCATTTAGGATCATATTGGACCGATTTGATGTCGTTGAGTTCATCTTACTGAGACATTCAATTTGATTATAAATTTGCAAATTTAGAGTTCGAATGATCCCAAATTTAATTTAAAAAAATTTTAATTTAAATATGCCTCAAAATTCATGTTCGTTCAAGATTTTTTTGTGACTTATCAAATAAAAATATAGAGCTGCTATTTGGGTTGTTGAATTACTTTACTCTTTCTCGACTCCTTATACTATGTGGTTTCTGCAATTATGTGAATTCATACTAGCTTATATTAGCATGCAACGATTATTTGGTGAGACTTTTCTTCATATTTTTTTAGCACTTTCCCCTATTAAAAAGACCTTTAGGCCTTTAAAAAAATCCTTTATTTTTAAATCTAAAAATAACTATATATTGAGAATTATGGGTGCAAACGAGTGGAGTCGAGCTCGAGTGGTAGGGTGTTCGAGTAGAGCTTGACAGTCAAATACCGAGCTTGAGCTCGAGCTCAAACTCGAGTCGTGCTCAAAAGTCGAGCTCGAGCTCGAGTCGACAGAGGAAAAAAAGCTCATTGAGCTGCTTGAGCAATATTTTGAGCTCAGTTCGTCTATTGAACTTCTGTCCACCTCGTCCCCAGCGTCTGCCTCGTTGTCAGCTTGCATCGTCGAGCTTCCATCAGTCGAGTCTCAGTTCATGTCCGTCAAGCTTGCGTTGTCGACCATCCGAGTTCGTCGAGCTTGTGTCGTCGACCGTCTACATTCATCGAGCTTCTATTCGAGTTCGTCGAGCTTGTTTCATCGACCATCTTCATCCGTCGAGCTTCCATCTGCATCTGTTGTTGCCAGCTTGCGTCGTCACAAGCTTTTCCCACGCACGATTTCATTTTCCCGTGCCCAATCGCATTTCCTCGTTGCCTATTTCATACGCGAGACGCTCGACGAGCTCACGAGTCGAGCTGTGGGTTGTTAGAGTTCGAGCTTGATAAGCTGTCGAGCTTGAAATTGTGTTTGAGCTCGATAAACTCAACTCGTCGAGCTTGTTACCGAGTCAGGCTCGAGTTAGCTCGCGAGCCAGCTTGACTCGGTTATTAATTATTAATTTAAGTCCAATCAAATAAATTAATGAATTAAATTATAAAATAAAAAATGATTATCATATTTTTATATATAATTAAAAATGATTCAAACTCGAAATTTCTATCTTAATTTTTCACATAAATTAAAATTATAATAATAAGTATAAGTATTAAAGTATTCTAATAAGCCGATAATAACAAGTAAATTTTGTATCATAATAATAAGCATAAATATTTAAAATAAAAAAAATATATAAAAACTTTTGCTAAAAAATTAATATTATTCTCTATATTATTTTTTGAATATTTTTAACTAATAATTTCTCTATTTGCTTTAATTATTTCATTTTTCTTATTTTGACATAAGTTGCCTTCTAGTACTTTTTTTCTTTTCATAAAATTTTAAAATGAGGTTATATATATATATATAACAAAAAAGATTAAGTGGCCGGTCTGATTGTTATGTGGACAAATCATCATTCACGTGGCAACTTTATCTATTTTACTAATTTAAAATTTCTTCTATTTTTAAAATATATTTTTTTGGAACATTTAGTCCAATTAAGATAAACTCACAAGTTGACAGTCAAAGCTCTTAACTAACAGATCAAGATGAACTGCCTTATTTAGATTTATATATAATATCATTTCAAAATTTTATCTTTTCTTTTATGGGAGTATTGGCTCTATTAGCACGGAGTTATCGAGCAAGCTGTTGGCAAATGAAAGTACAGATAAAACTTTGAAATCAACTTAATCCTTTTAAGGAGAGACCACCACCATTAGCCACCAACCACCAGATTGACAATCCCTTATAAAGACGGCTCTCTTCTTTAACCAACCAACATCTCATTAATCATTGAAGAAACTATTGAGTTTTTTTCCTTATCATTTTTCTTTACTCTCCACATTTCTTATTGAAGAACTTGCGGGGTCATCATGGATGACATCAACTTGAGTGCTCCTTCTCTAATGGATATTTGGTCGAAAAGAGTCTACAAGAATGCAACCGATGGCTCCTTCGATCTACCAGACTTGGATTTCGCAGATGTTTCGATAATATGCTTGGATCTCAGTGATGAGCGCAGTTCAATAATTTACTCATTCGAAGCATATTTGGACAACCCCTTCACCTTCTCCCTCCCCACCGTTGTGTTGCAAATAGTCCTTATCACGATCATGTCTCGTGTCATTTACTACATCCTTCGTCCCATCAAGCAGCCTCGTGTCGTCTGTGACATTATAGTAAGAATAAGTGAATGTATTTTATGCGTTTTTAATGTTAATTTATATGTTATCATCTAACAAATGTTAAAAAATTTAATTTTTATGGTTAAAAAAAAGTTTTTTTTTTCTTCTATGAAAAAAATTTTGAGTTCTTCGTTCCCTTCTTAATGGAGGCATGCATTTCCAGGCCGGGATCCTCCTAAGCCCCAGCCTCATCGACCTCATATTCCCAGAGTACCTGTACATCATGTACCCCGACAATGAAATGCACATCAGCCGAACCTTAGCCGCCTTCGGCCTCATGTTCTACCTCTTCCTGATCGGCGTCAAAATGGATCCCAAAATCGTATTAAAATCCGGTAAAAAGGCCATCTTTATTGGATTATTCAGCTCACTCATCCCTTTCAGCCTAGTCGGCACCGCCACTTACTTCTTCCGCACGTCCATCGACGTCGGCATCGCCCGCGGCAAATTTCTCATATTCCTTGTCGCCGCCCTAACCATCACCGCCTTCCCCGTCGTCTCCGACATCCTCACCGAACTGAACCTCCTCAACTCCGAGCTCGGTCGCCTCGCAATGTCCGTCTCGATGGTCCACGGCATCTTGGGGTGGTTCTTCATGGCGCTTTTCACGGCGTTGAACCAAAGCCAGGGCGGCCTGAGCAAAGCCGCCAGGGCGTTGGGGTCAGTACTGCTTATGGTGTGCGTTATCGTGTTCTGTTTCCGGCCGTGGATGCTTTGGGTCGCGCGGCGGACGCCGAAGGGCGGGAGAGTGAGCAGCCTGCAGCTGCATGCGATCGTGGTTAGCGTGATCGTGATGGGCCTGGTGAGCGAGATGACGGGGGCGTCATTTGCCGACGGGCCGTTGATAATGGGGTTAATGGTGCCGGATGGTCCGCCATTGGGGACTGATTTGGTGGAGAGGATTGGGAATATGGCGAATGAGGTGATAATGCCGCTTGTGTTTACAGCGGCGGGAGCGGTCATGACGCCGTTGGTGGTGTTGCATTTGAGGAGGTGGATGGTGTTGATTATGCTGGTTTTAATGGCGTATGGGTCAAAGTTGCTAGCGACTATCGGGCCGGCGATGTACTGCAAGATTTCCTTTCGGAAGGCGTTTATATTGGGGCTTATGATGAATTTTCAGGGCGTGATAGAGTTGATTACTTACATGAATTTCCAGAATGGATCTGTAAGTTTTTGCCTTTTTAGTAAAATTGATTACACAAATTTCCTTTGGTAAAAAATATGTCATCGACAGCTGCTGGACGACGAGAGCTACACGTTGCTGGTATTCACCATCATCGTCATCACCTCCGTCGCTACTCCGCTCGTAAAACATCTGTACAACCCCCTCGGCCACGATCTCGTCGGCAGAAGAGACATTCAGCACCTCAGACCCGACGCAGAGATCCGCATCTTAGCTTGCCTGCTCAACGAGGACCACATTCCCAGCATATTAGGCCTCCTCGAAGCCGCAAGCCCGACGACTCCGATCTGCGTCTACGTTCTCCACCTCGTAGAGCTGACCGGTCGAGCTAACTCCACTCTCATAGCCCACAAGAACAAGAAGGGCTTCATCAATCCCAGCAACATGGACCGCCTCCACAACGCCTTCATCCACTATGAGCAGAACAAGCAGGGGATCGTCGCCGTCCAGCCCTTCACAACCATCGCGCCTTTCAAGACCATGCATCAGGACATTTGCTCGCTTGCCGGCGATAAAAGCGCCGCTATCATCATCCTCCCTTTGCCTGGCAAGGATGCCTCCGGCGGCTTCAGTGAACAGGACCAGGCCTTCCGGACCAACATCCCCCATATCCTTTCAAAGGTAACTTCAATTCATTATTGTTATTATTGTAGAAGTTAATACTTCTTGAACAGCAGTGAAAGACCGAGAAGGAAGAAGACAGAACTTGAACTTTTATTATTATTTTTCCTTACCTACATACAAGCGGCTGAAGCCTATATATAATCTATTCTAGTGTTAGTAGAGTACACGTGTAAGTTGATCATTGGTACAATATACAAAGTAATATAAATAACTTCCTTAACAATTATTCCAAAATCATGAAAACAATCCACATATGATGAATGGTGCAGGCGCCATGCTCGGTGGGGCTTCTGGTGCACATGGGCCTGACCGTCACAGTGCTTTCTACGCCGGCGAACTTCCAGCATCACATCGGACTACTCTTCTGGGGTGGACCGGATGACCGCGAGTCTCTTTCCTACGCGGCGCGCATGGCGCGACACACCGGCGTAACTCTAACGGTCACCAGGTTCTTCTCATCCAGCTCCATGAGTTCGAATGAAAAAGAGGCGCAGATGGACAACGAGGTAATCGAGACTTTTCGGAAGGAGAACTCCGACAATCTACGCGCCTCTATGAATGAGGTCTTCGTGAACGATATGGAGCAGACAATATCGGCTATCCGCAACTTCAGCCGCGTAGGCTACGACCTCATCATGGTCGGTCGCCGGCTTTCATGGAATTCGATACTTAATGATGAGCTGGAGGAGTGGAGCGAGTTCCCGGAGCTGGGGGTTGTCGGTGACATCATCGCATCGTCGGATTTTGAGTCGGAGTTTTTGATTCTCGTCGTGCAACAGGGGCCGTGATTCCGCGAACGCTTTTTGGATTGGCAAGACAATACAGTGCGGTGAGACTCTCCTGTTGGAGGAATTATTCTTTTGCGGAGGTCGAATACCGTCTAAAGATCAATCAGAATGAACAATATCATCCTCTACTCAGTATCCAGCTCGGTACTGCGGCTCGGTACTGCTCGGTACCCAGCTCGGCATTGCTGACGTGATGCATTTTGATTGATCTGCGAAAGATAAACTCTTTTCGACGTCGGCTTAGAATAATTTCTCCCCTAGTTGAGATCTCTTCACAATTGTGCTTTGCTTTTGACTATTTAGATATTGGTTATAAATTATTATGGCCAAATTATAAGAAGGGTCAAATTTTCTAAGAAAATAAGCATACAAATTATGTTTAATAATTAGTTTAAAAAGGAGAGAAAATGGAGGGGAGAAATCCGTTTTGTATAAAAACCAGATTAAGAAAGAAATCGGATTTCACGCCCGCCATAATTCCTTCCTCCCATTCAATGCCTATGATATGCTAAATATGTCCACCCGTGATCAATTAGCCTCATGAATTAGAAATTTATGTCTTGATTTCTGTCCCCCGCCCTCTATATATTTGACGAACACAGAAGCTCATGTGTTTTAGAAGAATTCAGTCAAGAGAAAACTCTATGAAGAATCATCTACAAGTTTTCAAGATAATTTTATTTAATGTAATGTTATGTTGCTCGATCATATAAATTAGATATTGATTGTAAATTTGAGACATCTTTAAGAATATGATGGAATGATATTTTGATTTTGAGATTGCTTGTATTTTTTAGAAATATTGTTGTTGTTTAGGACATAGGTGAGATATGTTGATTTTGAAAATGCTTGCATTTTTAAGAAATATTTGTTGATGATATAGCTGAGATCTGAGCAAACAGAGGTGGAGCCTACCTTAATTTTTAGGGAAGACAAGTTATACAAAACATTTTTCTTTTTAAAACATTGATATTGGTTAACTATAGTGTAAATTTGTTGTAGAAGAAAATTATGGAATTATGTTCATTAAAAATTTGTTGAATCTATTTTTATCAATTTCTAAGTGATTAAGTTATTTATACAAATGATGTCAGAATAGAAAAAATATTAGATCAGATATCTCAATAATTTATTTTTTATAAATGGAATGATTTGTGAAATAAGTACTAATATAAATTATATTGACATATATTTTTCAGATTATGTAACATACATTATAAAATTAGTATTTTTTTTGTTAATGTTTGCACCTAAGCCGGGACGTCTTAGAAAATATGAATTTATTATGATTTAGGTTAAGATTAAGCTTGATATATCATCAAAAAATTATCTTGATCAGGCGCTAATCTCGAGGCAAAATCAAGTCGTTCAAAAATTAAGTCTGGGATCACCTGAACTCCGATTTCAGTAAACTTACAATCGAACTGATCGTCTCCGAAATACGAACCCAACGACACCAAACTCAACTCAATCCAAGCTAAAATGAGTCCAAATCAAAAACCCAAAGCGCTATTGGAAAGTTCAAACCGCAATTTGAGTTACCAAACGGTTCCCAAATATGACGTGCTTATAGTCAGATCAAGCATCTCGATGAGACGAATCCAACGAGCCCAAGATCGCCAAATTCCGACATCATTAAGACATTCAAATATCTGGCGAACGGTCCACGATCAAGGGATTCAATATCGGCCGTCCATTCAAACCACTCCCGATTCGCCCTTGATCGTACCTATTTACAGGCCATGTCACTCCATAAATCTATAAATAGACCCCTCATTTCTCTTGTGAGGGGGGCCAATCAAAAAAAGAAGAGAAGAAGGAAGAAGAAGAGAAAGATTGGAGGGAAGAAACTTCTCCACGACCACTGTCGGAATTCAACTATAAATACTAGTGGATTCATTCAAACTGGGCTAGATCCCGTGATTTTTCCTCTTTTTAGGGGTTTTTCACGTAAAAATCTTGGTGTCTCCTTTAATGTTGCATCCTCTCTCTTATTTGATTGCGTGCCAGATTTTCGTACAACACTAAGACACTAAACTTTATATTTCTCTACCGCCGCGAATACTCAGGACGCAACAAGCTTACAAATTTATTATGTTTGCACCTGATATATTTATATATATATAACTGGCAGAAAGAGCTTTTATATAACCTTAACCGACTAATTAGTAATTAGTATGGTAAGTACACATGAAATATTTTCTTTAGTAAAAAAATATTAATTAGGCAATTTGTATATAAACTGAAGCTCTATCATGCTTCATATTTAGGCTAAGTTTATGATGAATGCATCTCTTTCTGATTCATGTCATGAGTATTCGATAAATCTTATGCTAGTAGTCAATTACCTAACTGAACCTTCAACTTCTCTTGTCTAAGACTTGGGACCTAGAAATGACAGTGTTTAATAAGATTACAATTTTTAGATATCTTGGGTCTATTGTTTAGAGTAATGGTGAAATAGACGAAGATATTATTAGTAGAATTCAAGTTGGATGGTTGAAGTGCAGGAATGTATTGAGCTTGTTGTGTGATAGAAAAGCTCTTCTCAAACTTAAAGAAAAGTTCTATAAGATTGTGGTGAGACATACAATGCTTTTTGGTGCAAAGGCAGACCTAAAAATACTTGGTTAGAAAATATTAGAAATTACCGTTCTTTATTAGATTTTAATGAAAAATTGACTCTTAAAAAGACAATGGAGAAAAATGCAAGACGGTTTACAATTAAGATTTTATGTAAGTCAATGACTTATTTTTTGTAGATGCAAATAATAAATCAGAGATTATAACTTAAACAAAAATGTATTGATTTAATAAATTGATAAGAAATTTAATAATCATTATAATTAGAATTACAGTTATGTGTGCTTTGAATAATTTTTTTAAAAAAAAACCCTCGAAAGTTAGTAGCAAATTATGCAAAAGAAACTTGATCAATAAATGAAAATACCAAAATAAGAAATTCAAGATTCTTGTCAATATACAATAACAACTAGCCTTTATACCACGTGGGGTCGAATACATGAAAAAGTTTTCTCCATTTCTTCATATTAAGAGTCAAATTATCATTTAATTATAATAAAAATTATCTTGTTAATACTTAATAACCAAGTTTTTTTAAGTCTATTTCTACATTTCTTAACATTGATTAGAACTAATACATTGACGATTTATGTGACCAAATCATTTAAATGACTCTCTAATCATATATGCCACTGAAGCTACTCCAACCTTTCCACATAAGTACTAATTGCACATCCAATCACTAAGAAAATAAGATTGTTAATATAAGAAAACAAATCCCCACAAAAGTCAATTGTTGCAATTATATGATAGTCGAAGTAATCACACATCCAATTTGCACAAAAAAGAAGAAGTAAATAATCAAAGATAATAAATTAGATGTCTCAAACCTTTTATTTATAGAGTGCTCAGTCCAAGATTTGAAGATAAAATTGACACATAATTAACTTGATTAATTATAGATAATCCCAAAATTCAGCTTGATAAACATAGAACATATTTAACGCCCAATAAAAATAAAACCCACCACATCTAAACATAGCGAGCTCAAAGTATATTAATCGCGGTTGAAATCACTCAAGCATTGCCCATTAATGAAATTGGCTGCATCAACACATTCAGGACATTGAATTTACTAAAGAAGATCCGCTCGTGTGCAAGTCAATGGAGCAAACACAAAAAAGATAATAAACAAGCACGACATCCCACGAAAAATCATCCAAACGATGTCCTATCCTAAAACGAATTGAGATGTTGTGTCTAGAACATCGAAAATACCTTTGAGGGACCACTCACAAGAAAATTTAGCGATCACCATAGAAAATGACGGATTACAAGCGCAACATTATGTGAAGTAGCACGAACAATGTCTATTTGTTAAATGAACTTTGCCATTACACCTAGAACATAAAAAATACTTAGAAAGGATACCCATATTGCATTGCGATTGCGTGATCTCAAAACTCAATATGGTTGAGGAGAATTTTTGGAGAGAGTGTGTGTGCGTGTGAGGAGAATTTTTGGAGAGAGAGTCAATTTTGAGCGACTACTATCTGCTTTCAACTATTGACCCAATTCAAAAAATTATCTTGTTTGAGATAGATTGCATTTTGTCTTTCTCGGTTTTTAAACAAAATTATGATTTTTTTATTTAATATATACTTTTTGTTGTCTAAAAATGAAGATAACTTCACAATGCAAAACTTTCATTGCATAACCTTCTGTATTGTATAGATATAATGATTCTGGATATTTGGGTATTTAAAAAAAATTATATTGGGATTTTGAAACGTTTTCCATTTTAATCGTCTGAAAAATAATTCTAACCTTAAAAAATAATATTAAATTATAATTAAAGCTTCAAAATAATGTTTTGAATAATATATGGTAAATTAGTCATATTGTGAAATAGTGTATTTTTGCTCAGTAATGTATTCTGCAGCTTACCGTTAAAATATTCGGTCAAATTCTGAAATGATTTTATTTATGTTTATTTTATCAGAATGCAACGAATTATATGATTATTTGTTTAAAATGTGTGAATTTGAGAAGATTAGGTATGTGTGGAGGAAGTTATATTATTGTGCTAATGTATATTCTGGTGTTAAATGTACATTCTGGTGCCAAATACATTATTGTGATATATGCACACATTATGTTCTAGTACTATATGCACATTCTATTTTGGTGTTGGGCATTGGAAGTCATAAGGGAATGTTTTCTGATATGCCAGCACGAGAGTCATAAGGTTCGGAATTATCTAAATTTCATTCTAATGGGAAATATAAGGGCATGAGAGAAATATATTATTTTCTACACTAATATATAAAATTATTTACTTTTCAAAATTGTTGTTTAAGTTTCTAATAATTGCAAGCACTACTATGCTTCATATAGTGACTGTTAAGAACTCATCTAAATGCTTAATAAATGATTCATTTTATAATTTAGATTGATGAGTGTGACATGTTGAGCTATGTTGGCTCGCACTTTGCCTGCATTCTGTTTCAGAGTCTAGGAAAAGAAAAGAGTCAGTTGAGTAACTGAATCAAGATCAAATCCATCTGAGTTTGTATAGGTATTTCTTTTTTTATTTTTGTATAATCATAGCCTGAGAAACATAAATTATTTTTTGCTTTGATATATGAAGTACTTATTTATTTATTTTCATGCATTGTTATTTAATTTTCTAATAACTACAAGCACTACTCTACTATGTAGAGTGACTACTAAGAACTACTTTAAACTCATCTAAATGCTTAATAAATGATTTATTTGGAAATATAGACCTGTGAGTGCGACCTACTGAGCTATTTTTGTTCATAATTTCTCTGCATTTTGTTTTATGGTCTGAGAAAGGGAAATAGCAAATTGAGTAGCTAAATTAAGATATAATATATCTGAGTCTGTATAAATATTTCTTTTCTGATTTTTGTACAATCATAGCTAGTTATTTAAATTATTTTGTTCCGTGTTTCAGTATATAGCCATGTATTGTAGTGTAAATGTTATATTTACATTTTGACGAGAAATTAAAAAAAAATATTAATGGGTTATTTTCTATATACTAGAAGTTATTAGTAGTTTTGTGGTATGATGTTTATTTTTTATATTATATTGGAAGAAATAAAGTCCGAATTGTTTCCCCAAAACTTCGATCTTGGGTTGGCCTAACGCAAGTTAACATGATATGACATATTCTGTCTGTGAGTTTTATTATGCTAGACTGTGACATTGGTTAGGTCAAATATCTTCTGTGAATAAGTAAACTATAGATCATATAATCTAGAATGACTGAACAATGGGATCTTGACCTGGTTCGTCATCATTCCTCCCATAATATGCTTTAAGTGAAAATGATGGTAAATTTTTAATCATAACCCAAAAAATATGAAAAACTAATGCTACTATATGCCAAGTACTAAGTACATATCTAATAACTAGCCTTAATCAAAAGTGCTATCTCATGATTGAAAAGGGTATTTAACCATATGGGCTTGCGCCTATGAGAAACCTGAACTTAGATCTTAAATTCATCACAAAATGAGGGCAAAATATCCTATGTTATGTCTTATCTCTAATCAATTTGTCTTAAAAAAATTTGACTCGGAACTTTATCCATTAAATCTTTCCTTGAACCACATGAAAAGGCCGAGCTCTAAATTTTTAGATCCCACAATTTTCTAGTGACTCCATAGGGAAATAAATAAGAGGTATGCAAAAAAGGAGAGGACTTTATCAAAGAATAAGTCAAACTCTCATGCAAATAACAAATATGACTAAGGAAAAATCAAATAAAAGCATATCTTCAAACATTCACTCTAGGTCTACAAAGTACCCTTATACGAAGCAACCTATGACTACCAATAAGAATCCTTCGGTTAGGTTAACTACCTTCTCTAACTAAGTAAACTAGGGATCATGAAAATCTAAGATGACAAAATCACGGCATTAGGTTCCTCATCATCCCCTTATCATTTGCTTTAAGTGACGAGTGATAAATTTCTAACCCTAAGCATCTAAATTTTTTATTATAATATGCTAGGTACTAAATATCTATCTAATAACTAACCTTAGTTGAAAGTGCTCTTTCATCACCATGAGGGATAATTAATCATAAGGGTTTGCATCTATGGGAAACCTAAACTCATATCTTAAAGCCCTCGCTAAATAAGAGCGATGAGAAACATGAACTAAGACTTTAGAGTATGCTAAATGAGAGCAAAATATCTATGTAGTACATTATCTCTAACCAATTTGTCTTCTAAAAATTTATCCCGAACTACAATCCATTAAAACTCTCCCTCAAATCACGTGAAGCGGCAAAAGCGCCAAATTTTAGAGCTCACACTACAATTAACTGCATACTTCATATGTTTTGCTATCATTAGTGAGCTTTTTTTGAAACAACTTTTGTCATGCTTTATTTTTAATGCATAGGAAATATGTTGAAAATTAACATCTTAACATGCACACTTACATATCACTAGGAACAAAACATGCTTAAGCTTTGTGACCACCAAGTATTTTGGCTCTGGGCATACGTAGTCAAACAAGGATAAAAACAACATGACTTCCATGCCACATGCTTACATCCCTCACATTATGTTGCCCTCATAATAAATGAAATAAAATTCATATGAGAGTTGATGAATTTGAGCCTGCGATGAGCTAAGAATGTTCTTAATTGAATGTTCTTGGTGCAAAAACTATACCACTTATTAAAATTGGAAGCTGCTAAGAAGACTCTAAGAAATGTTCTTTTGAAGATAAAAGAAGAAATAAAAAATAAAAATAAAAACAAGACTGTAAAATGATAGCATACCTTTTATATCTGACTACATTCCAGCCAAAACAGTTGGATAACAGAGAGCTTGCCATAGGTTTTTCACTATATTATATCAAAAAGATGCTGCAATATAGTCAAATATTAAGCCAGATTTCAAAATACATGCAGCAGTTGACATAGTCATTTAGGATAACAAATGTCTACAACCCCACATAATGCAAAAACCTAAAGGCTAACCTAGCTCAACAGGATCTTAAATTCACTTTGATTTGGAAGGGGCAATAGAGACAAAAAAGTACAGGTGAGTGCTATGTGAGGTTCTGTAAGATTGCCTATCAAAAATTCCTAGAATACATACCATGTCCCTAAGTGTAAAGTCAAGAGAAGATCACTTTCTGTATGCTTTGGCTCAGTTAGAAGGCCTTGGTTTGCTTTGCTTTCGCTTCCTTGCATTTCTGGATAGATCTTCTGATTTATTTTTTGGAACTTGAATCGCAAAGAGGGATGATTTACTCTCACAGGACGAATCCGCTGTTTTTATCGATTCTATAGAGGCACAAGGATCTTCATAAAGGGCTTTTTCATCTTTAGCTTCAGTTGATCCCACAATAGCCTTTACAATGTGTATCTGCCAATTCAGCCCAAAATCTCATAAACAAAACAAAATTTTAATGTGTAAAACTGTTAAGGACTTCACCAATTTTGTTCCTTAGATACATACATAGATATAATTTGACTTTAAATGCCATGTACTAGCCGCATTTGGACAAATATACTTGCTTTTTGAGAAATATGACCGAAACTTCATTTCAGATCCAAAATGTATTCCTTTTTCATATTTAAGAGAATGTTCAAACAAGAAAATTGCTAGAACTTTTCTTTTCTATAGAGCTTTAGTGATTGATTTGTCGCAGGTTTTCAGAGCAATCTTTTAACTAACCTTACGTTCAGGGTTAGTGTCGATGCTTTTCATTCATCAGCTCTTGCAATGTCGACAGTATTAAGCTATAATATGAAGAAGATGAAAAGAGAAACCTTGGTTAGGAAATGAAAAATGTTCAAACCCCATATGCAGCATTCGAACCTTATTTAAACTAATTTGGACATCTATTTCAAATTTATATTTGTTCAATAGATGTGAAACTAGGTTCCAACTAGTCTTGAAATGAGGGTGCAAATAAGGGTCGAATAAAATTCAAACTTATAATAGGAGGTTCAAATGTTGTTCGAGAACCATCATCATACTTTGATAGAATTTCATTTGAATTGAGTTCAAAACTAATGCTCAACCATTAGCTTCAAAACAGTGTTTGAACATAGGTTTGAATTATTTTCCAACTTTATTTGAGCCTCTATTAAACCTTTATTTTTAATATTTCCTTCTGAACAAAGATTCAAAGATAGGTTTGAGTCTTACATTCCAACTGATTTTTCTTCATTATATTGTATGAAAGTTATTATTATTATTATTATTATTATTATACATACTATTGTTGCGAGATCACAAACCCTAGATGAGAAAAGCTAAAGGGACCTTGTTTGACCCTGTTAATGAGATAAATGTTCTTTAAATTGTGTTTGGCCCTCTCAGAGTCCCTAGATTTATATGTTACTCTTGAAATATAGTTTCTCTATATAAGAATAATTTGTATAATACAACAACAACAACATCAAGCCTTTATCTTACAACAACTACGTGGGGTTGGCTATATAATTCGTTTTTTTTTTCATTGTGTTTATTAAGAGTCAAATTCTCATTTAAATTTAATAAAAAGTCCTTTTTAATATTTTCTAACCATGTCTTATTAGGTTTACCTCTACCTTTTTTAGCATAGGCTAAATCTAATACATCTACTCTCCTAATAGGTTCATTAAAGGCAGACGTTTCACCTGACAAAACCATCTAAGGCGACTCTCTCTAATCTTATCTGCCACTGAAACTACTAAACATTTTCACATGTATACTAATTTCACATTTTGTCTCTAAGTGTAATCACAATCCTCACCTGAGCACACTCATCTCTACAACACTTAATTTTATTCTTCTCTTTTAATGAACAACATTCTGCACCATAAAACCTTACAAATCTCACGACCATCTTATAAGATTTTCCTTCAAGTTTGAGGGTATTTTTCTATGACACAATAGGCCCGATGCGTCCCTTCATTTCATCCATCCAACTTGAATTCTACTAATAATATCTCCATCTTAACCATAGAGAATCTTAATTTTAAAATTACTCTAAATCCCAATATAAACTATTTCAGATTTAAATCTAGATAAATGCATACAAATTTAAAAAAATTGCAAAAAATGTAAAAAACATTCAAGAGAAAATTATAGTTTAAAGCTAATACGAATGACAATCCATCAACTCTCTATAACAATATATCAAGGGTGACAAGTTTAGCGTAAGCGAGAAGCCATATTTATATAGGAGAGAATCTAAATTTGCCCAAAATGAGTGGGTGAGTGCACTAGCAAGTTGCAAGTGCAAGAAATATGCTAGGTTAAGTCAGGATATACAAAGGAGCCCTAACAAGTGACACAAGTGAATGGGCACCTCAACGAGTACATAAGCATCTCGATAAGTACCTTAGCGATCTCATTGAATACACTATTGTGTCTACAAACACTCGAGCTACTAGGTAAATGTACTAGCGCCTTTGCGATTACCTGGGTGATCATGACAAATTCACCAATGTCTCAACAAGTAACTAGGTGACCTCAGAGAGAAATGTTGAGTTGTTAATGATAGTGCTATTGAATAATTAATAAAGCCAGCAAGTACGTGGGCATCTAGGTGAATGCACCTGCTTCTCGGCGAGTAATTGGGTGCCTTGGCAAATGCACTAATGAGATCCTAATTTTAGCATGTTTAATTTAGATATTTTTTTTATTTGGTTTGTTTTTGCATTTAATCTAAGATTTTTCTTAAATTAAATGTTATTATTAATTCCTTAATTTGAATTAAGGCTTCATTCGAAACAGCTTTAGACCACTGTTTTTTCTCAGATTTTTTTTTAAAAAAATTGTATTAAAAATTAGCTTTACAAAGCAATAAGAAAGTTGTCCCAAATGAATCCTAAGTTTGTTGCTTTTAGGATCTTATCCAATTCAATCTTCCATAGAACGTTCTTAAGAGGATTATTTTGATGGTTAACATTGTGAATATGGCTAATCATTAAGGGAACAATGATGGTGAAGATGCTGGCAATGGTTATTGTGAAGAGAAGAGGGACGGAGGAGATGAATATCATGTCTATCGGCGATCTCTACTACAAAATCTTTGTTGTAAATTCACAGCATGATTGGGACAATTATATTTGGACCGATGGTTGTATATATAAGGGAATTTGTGCTGAGCAAAGTTTATCGAGAAAGGATATTCCCATGGTCATTAGGTGTGACCTTGAAGGGAGAGTTCATAGCCACCTTCAAGGGAGAGTTCAACGCCAAGAAAATTAAGGGGCATAGATGCCAGATTTTGGTTGGAAAAAAATTTAAATACCAAAAAAATTGTTTCAAGATCTTTAAAACAAATCAATTACTTTCCAAAAATAATAAAAACAACATAATACATTTTATTCTTTGATTAAAATGTTTTTAAAAATCAAAATCAAACAAAATATATTTTTAGAGTTATCTAACTTTAGACCAAGAATGAGTTTGAACATAGCATCGAGTACGCAGGGAGCACTTGGATCTCGAGGAAATCATTTTGAAGAGGGCTGAGTTATTCGAATGTATTATGGGAAGTTTTTCAATTTCTAGGAAGGTGTGCCGAGTAGGCTGATCTCAGTACCAAGAGGATTGATTTCTAGACAAGATAAACTAAGAAGAGTCATGAGGGAGGCCAAGTAAGCTATCATGTCCGAGCGAATTTGCTTAAAAGACAGATTTTTCCGAGATCAATAAGCCCACACATGCATATGATGATTTCACTATTGCTAAATGGTCTGTAATACTATGGATAAAAGAAGAATGCAATTTTAGAGAGTAATTACTTGTGAAGCTTAATTTTTAGGTCAAAAGGTTGTAGTTTTAATATCACATACAAATGATAGCTTCCCTAATAAATATTTTTAATGGACACAAGTATCTTCCAATCATCATACTTACATGTAGAAAATTTTGAGAAAGAGTTGGATCATATAAAGTGCTTCAAGGAAATTTTAAAATATTAGTTACTATTATTATTGACTCAATATAACTAGGAATATTCCCTTGCTTATTTTGGCATTTCGATAGATTTGGAATCTAGAATTGGGGTCATTCTTGTTTTATGTTTATTTCCTTCCTTGGTATGCATGCAATGACTTGATGAAGGTAGGTTTCTTCTAAGAATACCCTCGGATTTTAGGGTTTATGAAGTACTAGTGGCATTAGCAGTGCTGCAATAGGAATGAGTTTGTTTCTGAGGAAATTTCTTCACGTGAGATTCTTAGGACTTTCTTCTCCTTCTTTTAAACATGGATTCACTTGGAATTGAAAAAGGGCTAGTGAGTGCTCTTATTTTGTACATGTTTGCTGCATTTTTTGTTAGTAGTTTAGATCCTCTCTAATCTCTTGTGGACTTAGACTTGGTGGAAGCCAAATCCTCAGTGTATTCTATTTGTGGTTTTCCTCTTTTATTTTGTTTATAGCACATTATTCTTAATCCAAGTGAAGCTTTCGTTTTAAGATATTTGGTACCCTCACTCCAACAATTATCATTTTGTTGAATTAGATAATGGAAAGCCTTATGCAGACTTGCTAAACTTGAGGGCAATGATAAATGAAAGATATTTTCTGGATAACTAACTATTGTTTTCCTAACTTTTAGCAACTGTATATTGTTTGAAAGCAGCTAACTTTTCATGTTACAACCATTGAAGATGTCCATGAGCAATTCTATAGAACGCAGTATGTCAAAGAAAAAAAAAAAGAAAGAAACAAAAAGAGTTTTAGCTTTTTTAATATATGGCAGATTAAACAAGTGAGCCAAGTTTGAAATAAGAAACTTAGCTACCTTCAAAATAACTTAGCTACCTTATGAGGACATCAGTAGGAGATTTTGATGCGTCTATTATTGGAGGAATCGTAGATCGACGGATACGATTCAGAGTCTTTATTTATGATGCATTTATGTATTTTATTTTTATTTATGTTCTGGTTTACTATTGTACCCCCGAGAGGGTTTAGTTCATGATGTAGCCCAAAGGGCATTTTAGTCTTTTGCTTCTCTTTTATTTTAATGCCTATATATAGAGCCCTTCACTATTGTATGAGGTTAATTATTGATCAATAAAAATTTTCAAGCTTTCTAGTTCCCTCGATTGTTGAGAGTTCTTGAGAAGGACAAGTCCCTAGGTAAGGGCAAAGGCAATACCCGTCAGTCGTCGGAAGAGTCCAGGCTCACAGTCTACCTCCCCATCTCTTTCCCCTCCACCGGCCACCCCTCCCTTTCCTTCAGACCACCAGCCTCCCCCAATCTTCCTCCTAACGTCGGCCAAGATATTCCCTCCACCCCAAACTCTCCGGCTCAACCAACCCTCTCCCCAACTCCAAAACCGTCGACCAATCTCCACCATTCACCCCTACACCGCCGGCCACTTTCCCCAAACCCCTAGCCGCCTACCCCCCCCATTCATCCTCTCCCCAACTCCAAAACTGTCGACCAATCTACACCATTCACCTCCACATCGCCGACCACTTTCCCCAAAGCCCTAGCCCCCCCCTCCCACCCCCCTCACACACACACACACACACTAACCATTGATTCCCCTCTAATTACCTATTTATTACTTTCCAAATATAGCCTTCATTAGATTTGGAAAGTTTCTTAATGAATTTGAATTTAAATTCTTTCCTAAATAGACTACACCTATTTTAGGAATTCCCTCAATCACCATAAATCTTAAATTAATTCAGATTTGATTCCCCAATCAATAATTAATGCAATGATTCACATACATTGTATGTGGACATTCCCAACCCCCATCTCTTGGCCAGCCCCCCTCTCTACCCTTTTCTCTCTCCAATTAACTTCCCCCCACCCCCCTCTTAATTAATCCCATTAATCCCCACACAAGCCGCCGACCCCCACTCCCTCTCTCCCTTTGTTACTGCCATCCCCTCCCCTCTCTCTCTCCTCCACTTTTATTTCCTAATTAAAACCCAATCCCCCCATAATCCCTCCACTAATTAGAGAATTTGAACCCTCCTCTCTCAAATTAATTCCAATATTAATTTCTAAGCAAGGTAAATTAATCAAGGAATTAATTCCCTCCTCTCCTCTTGATTCCTCTTATTACCTAAATCCCTAACCCCAGGGCTCTCCAAGCTGGCTGACCTCTCTTCCTCTCCATCAAACCGCCGGCCACTTTGGGCCGTCCTGGAATTGAAGAGACTTCTCTCCCCCATGAATGACTGATCCCGAACACGATCATGGATTCGTGCATGATCTTCAAGGAAGAGTAGATATCCTCTTGTCTCCCTTCTTCAACCTCAACTTAGAGATCGACGACTACGTCGACCAAATCATTTTCACATTGACGTCTGCCATAGAGGAACACCAAATCTCCGGACAGTGGCGAGTTATCGGACATCCACCAACTTCTTCACCTCTGGCTAACTTTTTGTTGGGCACTACTAGAGGTGCTTCCTGTTTTTGGGTGGCATCTTTAAATTTGCTAAAATTATTCTTCCGTTAAAACCACCTCAAGAGTGTAAGTGAGGGGAACTCAAGGTGAAATTTCTATTTGTTAAATGGTGGATTTCTGTTGTTTATGCCTTTGGCTTTACTATAAGTTTATTTTATTTTAAATTGTTCTGTTATTCTTTCTTGTAACCGCATGCCAAAGCATAACTACAACTACGAACTCCTAGAATCTAATCTTGGTGAAACACTGAATTTAAAATTAGCAAAACTTAACAACTTGTTATTAATTCCTAAGCAATTCATGTTTCCATATATGTTTCACATCACTACTTCATAGCAAGTTTCACTAAGTACTTGGTAATTTGAATAATTAGCTTTGTGTAGAAGGGATTATTTATATGATTTGTGCATGAAGGGCGCCAGAAAAATGAGAGATGCAATTTAATGCCAAAAAAAAAAAGGATTGGACCATTGCAAATGGTTTAATACAACAAGAATAATTAGCCCGCTATCAAGAGCATGTACGACATGCTAGAAATAAGATTCAAGAAACAATTGAAAATGAATAATACCTTAAATCTGCTTAATTCAATCAGCTTGAACACTAAGGCATCTCCATCTTCCAATTTATGGTCCACTGCGAAGCTTCTCCACCCACCACTAAGGCCAGTGCGCCTACCAATATAAATTGCTTCGTGTTCTTCACCCTCCTCATCTTCTAAAATCATTTTTGTCTCACATAGAGGAAGATGATCCCTGCAAAACTTTGTCGGTAGACCCTCAAAGAGAAAGAAGGGTTAGATTATCAGTCTGCAAATCAGCATTTTAAAAGCAGTAATACAATAAGCATCAAAAGAAGGTATACTTACAAGCCAAAAACAACTGGACACATGCGAACGAAGCATTGATTTAACAAAGGAGGGGTGATTAGATGACACCTCAGTTAGAAGCATCTCAGCTTTCTTCAGGGCAACAACTTTTTCTTCATAAGAAGCTATTCTTCCAGTATATTCTCTTCCAATGGGTTCGCTCTTACAACTTCCAATGGAATAAAAAAGAAGTAACATCAACAGAAGAAATCGATATCAACAAAATAAACTCAAAAAATGTTACTACTAAACCTCCTGCGATAGTATAATCTCCTTTTGCCAGAATCCACAACCTGATACAAACCTTTAACTATTTCAGTAGTCTGCTTTGCCTTTCTACTAAATAGAACTCAGCAAAGTAAATAAAGCTAACAGATGTCATTCCAGACGAATCAAATTCTTTAGTGATAACTAGCAGTCAAGGAATCGAATAATTTGTTTATCTTTCAATGCAAACCTCTAAATATCAGAAAGTTATACTTAGAAGTGAAAAAAATTAAAAAAAGAAGTGATTGAAAAATATGATACATCATTGAACTAGAATGATGAGTTCAGCAATGGGTAGCTAAAATTTTCCCAAAATGGAAACTGTAAAATATAATTTTGTGAACCCTAAATCCTATGTATATATACATACATAGGGTTTATACGAAAATATGAGTTTAAATGCCCCATAATACCCTAAACTGGAAAAATATGCTCATTGAGGAAATATGATCAGAAATTCCCTTCGAACAAAAATATCCATACTTTTGAACAAATACACAGAAAACCCTCTCTGAGCAGTGTTATGCAGCACTACATCTATTCCTTCTGCGTTTTTGATGATTGCAGAGTGTGCATATTTGGGCAAAACTTCATGGCAACGATCTCACCCTAATCATTATATTTGAATGTTCGTGATTTTTTTTGTTTGTCTTTAAGGGTTGAAAACAAGCTTTACACTCTAAACCCTAAATCCCTTGGCCAAGAAACTTCATTATGTGCTAGTTGTCATTTTAAAGCCATATTCCAGCTATATTTTCTATAAATAAGATGAATAAATCACCAATGAATAATCTTAACAATCATCGAAACATGAGCATAAATTTTTCAATCATTTTCGAAAATGAAAGATTCATTTTAGCCTTCTTCAAACTTATTCGAACCTTACTTGAAATCTTGATTGAAAACCCTCTTCAAATCGAACTTGATTGATCAAGAATTGAACATATTTTTGACCAAGAGTTTGAATATGGTTTGATTAAGTTTAGACAAGGCTAAAATGAATCAAAGTTTATTCAAATATTGCTAAATAAGTTTTATGATGCTTTAGGATTTACTCATTTGAGTGTTCTAATATGTATGCAAATATCTTAGCTAATCCTAGTAGTTCATAGGCATTATTTAGCTCGGTCTCTTAAAGAGCCAAGCAGATTATGAAGAACTAGCCTAACAAATTTGATGCTTATGACCTAATTTCCCAAGCTGAGGGATTTCCCTTTGGACCCATTTTCATAGCTCCTACCAATGCAATTTTCTGGTGCTCTCATTCGTCAATTATTACTCAAGATAGTTGATGATGTAGAGAATAGTGAAAACTCCATTGGTTTTAATATTAGAGAGACGAACAAAACTTTCAGGAACGTAAAGTTTGCTTCAACAACTGGATTGAATTTTCAATAGTTCTCAGATGATGCTGAATTCCACTAATACACCTTCATTTATGCCAAAATACTCATTCTTTGTCAGAACGACATAATCATAAATCAATCCCCTACCTACCATACAATAAAGTTAAGAAATTCCTTCTCTAAACCATTATTTTTTAATTCTCTCTTTTTTGTTCATCTATCATTTGGTAATTTATTTCGAGTTCATCCGTTCCAATTTGAATTATAGTTTATTGTTCATAATTTTTTTTATGTATTGCTAACGTAGCTGATAATTTGCATTTCAACTTCAACACAACTTTACTCAGGGCTAAGCTAAACCTACATTACTCTAATGTTTTTAATTATATGCAATGAATTTTTTTACCAGTGTAATTTAATTTTGTCCTCTATTTATCTATTTTTTATTTTTAAATAATATTGGACATATTTTGATTTTTATATGTTTTATCAAATTTTATGTTTATCTGTGCTGTTATAATTCTTTCCAATGAAACTACTCTTCATAGAGATTGTATTAGCAATCACGAAGTACGTCAATATACTCCTTTTTTTTAGTGATATTATTTTCTTAATTAGCTTGAAATGTTTATTAATCTATGTTCATTTATGATGGAATCATTTTATCATTCAATAATGACAAGATTGAGCTTGATTGAAATAAAAATTTCAAAATTTTTTATATTTTAAAAAATAATAATATTATACTATTTGTTAATTTTCTATTTTTATTATGTTATGGATTTATAAAAATACCATTAACGTGCATTGGTGTATGTGCAATTAGACTAGAATATACAAATTAAATAGTTGTTAAAATAAAATAATATTATTTTATAATTCTTATTTTCTTTGCACGCACTTAGTGTACAAGCAATTAATATATTGTTGACACATTTTTCGTGTCGACTCGACTCTATTCAAGTTGAATTGGACCATACCTGTTAACGGCGAATGGCGCACCATGGCGCAAAGGTCCCTTTGGAGCCATGGCGCATAGCGCACGGCGCGGCGCGCGCCATTTTGAACATGGCGCAAGGCGCGGCGCGCGCCATTTTGAACATGGCGCAAACTATATAAAAATTATAA